ATACCTCCCCTTGAAAAATTTTTGTGTGCGCTACTGATGCAGATAGATATTTAAAGATGCAATTTGTCTGCTAGTAAACATAAAACCACTTGATGATTGGATTTCTTAATTTTCCCTTTAAGAGCATTAGAAGTATGGATAAGAGAAATAAAACAAAATACATACATTTATTTAAGCATGATTTGCTTAGCTTTCTGTTATTTATTAAGAAACCAAAATATATGTTGCAGCACATACTGATAAATGTAAATTAATTTAAACATATTTATGTTATATATAACTATACTAACTGATTTAACTATATATGTATTAAATAAATCTGTACAATACGATGAAGAGATAATTTTTAAAATTTTTTTTTACAATTGATGAGAAATAAAATCATAATTCAATTTCCTATAATCTCATTTAAAAAAATTTTTTTAAAGGAGCTATAGATATTTTTCCCCTCAATAAGTCTATTTAAAAAAATGAGTTTCAATTTGTTAAATTAGTTTCGTATGAGGGGAAAATATTTGTGGATATCAAATGGGCAAAGGGATAGGGAGATAAATTGGCGACTAAAAGGACCGAAAAAGAGTTAAAAAAAGACACGTGGCTTTTCTATTTAAACTAAAGGTAACTCCAGTTTCGTTGAGAGCAAAATATATTCATAGGCAGAACACTTCTCTTCTCAAAATAAGATATAAAACAAGAATATTTAAATTCATTTTGACGTGAATTTTATTCTATAAATAGCAGCCCATTATATTTACACCGCTAAAAAATTCGAATTTATAATCAAAGCAGCCGCTATCATTTCCCATCACTTGCTAAAGTGCTTTAATCTTTATTTAATGTAAACAGATATAATTAAGTTTTTAAAATCCATTGTTGTGGGGTATCAGTTATTGATAATTTTTAACTGTTTAGTATTTGACTCAAAATATCAATTTATACGGTTATCGCATGAAACATTAATTCATGCCTAATATAGTAACCATGCATAAATTAAAAAGCGGAAGATGGATATCTTTAAGTGCAATCTGAGTAATAAATACACTGGATTATATTTTTTCTATATTACATTACGAAATTTAATACATGAGAGACATTTATAATTTCTTCTATTCGCTAGTCTGAATATTTTTCTTTATTCTTTCTTTAGACTTAAATTGTTAAAGATTTTAGTTCCACTTAAGACAGATCGGTGAACATCTATTAAGTATCGTACTTTTAAAAAGCAAGCGTTCTGAAGGAAACTTTTTAAGAGTTAAATTATATTTTGTTCAAAATGATGTTTTAAACATGTTTATGGATGATGAATAGTTTAAGAATAGTAACGAAATACGAGAGATGCTTAAGGAAATCCAAATGGAGACAGTTTATGTGTATGTGCTAAAGACAGAGAGAGAGAAAAAAAATAGGAGTCAAGAAACCAGAGACTTCATTGAAACATAGTAGAGATTAAAACAATGCAAAACATCGAAAAGGGGTTCAAAATAATGATCATGAAATAGATCTGAAAGGCAATTGTGAAAGTAATAGTATCACAAATGAGTTTTGTTTTCTAAAATGTTTAATAAATAAGAAAAAAAATCTAAAATATCTAAAAAAAAGTCTTAAAATCAAAAGAGAGAATACGAAAAAATTCAGAACCTTAAGTACAAACTAGTGTGAATTTTACCAGATTCGAATTCTTTGTTAATCTAATAAATAAATATCAGTTTAACCCCTTAACTGGTTTGCCCGAGCACCGTACCGGCTACCGAAAGTTAGCTACAACCGGTTTGCCTTTTTTCTTTCTACCTTTGATTTGCCCATATTTTTAATTCCATAGTGAGATTATTCGTACTAGTGTTTTTAAGAGATGCAGTTTGTTCATGGTGCTGAAATACTTCTCACCCGGGATTTTCTTTGGGGTGAAGGCGGGAATTTTTCATTGAACGCAGGAATTAGATTCTTGAAAATATTCGTTAAGGAACAAGGATTGGCAAGGCAATGTGCAATTTGTTGATTGCGAAGAAATGAAAATGGAAAGAAAATACAAAAAAAGCTAATATTATCGCTGTCCCCATAGGAATGTAAGCCTTAGTATAACACCATGCTTCAAATTATGTGCTCGCGCACACACACACAATCTTCTACCTATTGTAAAGGGTACGAATATGAAGTTGTTTTACAAGTATGAAAGGAATTCTAAGATATTATACGAAACACTCTTCAAAGTAAGCAGAGTGTACTTATAAAAAGCACACATTTATAGTTTTTTTTTGTTCTAAAAATTATACAAAATAAAAACTGGCGGAAAAAATTAAAATAAAATTCTTCCATTTTCGCATTCTGTTCAATGAAAAATGTGCATTTTTGGAACATTTGGGGCAAGAAAATTGGTCCCTTAAGAGGTTAACAAACATATACAATGTGATCAAAGGATAAATTTCATGAGAAAGAAATTCTAGTAGTCAAAGTTCCTTAGTTGTCATAGATGTATCAGCATTCTTTGAAATATGTCGTATACGTATTTAGGCAACATCTATCAGTTAATGATATATTGTAAGATTTTTGTAAAGTATGCTATTAACGTATGAGTAAAAAACAACATTTAGGGACCATCTCGAGAGAGTAGAGAGTAACAAAAATTTCAAGAACTACAACGCACGTTTTTAAGTGATAAAATGTGGCACATGTTTGCGTAAGGATCGGTTTCATGTTTCCTATAGACATATGTTTTCTATTTATAGACTGTATGGAAATAATAAGTACATATCGATTTCAAGTTTCAAGTAAAGGTCAGTTTTTAAGTTGCGAAACAAATGTAATTACATGTATGCAAATGTGTGTGTGTAGTTTAAGAACGTGGCGCAGCCTTGTTTTCCGAAAATAAATATTTAAAGCGCGCCATGCAATTTTCGATAACATAAACAAAATTCGATGAAGATATCTGAATTATGAAATCATAAGTTGTTCTCAAATTAAGATAAGGAAGCCAATTACAGAAACTCACTCACAAAGAAGACCTTTACCGAAACGGAATAAATAAGTCCAAGCTGGATTGCCATTGCTACAGTAAACATTAGTTCCTTTGACCCGAAACAGAGATACTTAAGATGATAAACCTAAAAAAAAAAAAGGCAAATCGTAGAATTTTTTCCTCTTTTTTTGGGCCGTCAGTTACGGATGGTTTTGAAACATAATTTATGACAGAGTTTTGCATTACAGTATCCATTCCCATTAATCAGAAATTCGTTACACGAAAAATAAATGACCCCTTACAGCTCCTACGTCGTAAAAATCTATCAAAGGTACTTAACAATCCTACTTAGCACAAATCCTTCAGTTGCACATATTCATAGAGAAGGACCTTGAACTTAATAATCCTTTACTAAGTAACAGAATGAGGTTAAATACCTCACTTGTCAATTTAATTTGGTGAATCTACCTGTCGAGTCCTTCAAAACAACAGCTCAAGAGCTTGTAAATGGTACACAAATATTTGACTTGGGACAAAAGTTATGACAATATGATTTGGCTACATTTTGGTTAAGCACACAAAAAAATAGAAGTTTGCATCTTTGAAAGGAAGAGAGAGAGAAGTTTTCTTAATGAAAAATTATACCTTATTTGTCGCATAATTCTTTTTCAAAATGGAAAATCACTTTCGTCCCACATATGAAACGTAAACATTTGGCAAAGAATTTAAGTTATCTCTATGTTTCTAACCTATAATTATAGGAGTTCTAAAAATTACTTTTTATAAAGCGTTTGCAACATAAAAATAGGGGAATAAAACATCTTTTGAGGAAATGTCCATCAAAATGTATTATATTTTGATTTTAGACACTGAAAAAAAAAGAATCACGTTTTGTTTTTTCATATTTTATGATAAGTGATTATTTAAATTTTGTGACTCTAGATGCATTGATTATGGTGTTACAAAATGGAGTAATGGAAATTAAATTTTATTATACCATCATAAACTTATTACATTTATCAATAAAAAAATTCAAAAACCGTAAAATCCGGCGAACCGGTGCAAACGCGCACGTATTCATTCAAGCTGCATTTTTTAATTTTGAGGTATATTCGCCGTATAACGCGCACCCCCTTTTTACGAAGAAATCTGAAATGTTAGTGTACAGTTCTCTTATGTTTTGAAGTCATATTATCCCAGGTATTCGAAAAAATAGTATATTTCTAGAACTACAATTCTTCAAGTTCATAAGGCATGCCACCCTTTCTTTTAAATAAACAGTATTTCGATATACAAGAAGTCTAATTATTTTTTACGCTCATCTCTTTTTGTATTTCTAACGCTTTCATTCCTATATCCGGCGTATAACGCACACCCGTAAATTTCTATCTTATTTTTGGTGTTAGAAGTGCGCGTTGTACACCGGATTTTACGGTACTTTAAAGAAAGGGATTGGGTAAAATATGGAACAATTAGAATTTATCGATGAAAATCGTATCTAAAAATTTATTTCTTCATAATCATTTGTACGAATAAAAGGATTCAACTAGTCATTTAATTCAACAAGAAAGCTAGGATTCTTATCTTTACATCTTCATATAATGAAATGTCTCATATTCCTCAACTACAATAGATATAATTTAAAAGATAAAAATGTTGTTTTTTACTCACTTATTAGTTTTATCGAAAAATAGTTGAATATTAGATACTATTTAAATTAAATTAAAAAATTTCAATGGAAAATCAATTTATTTAAAATTTACTCATTTGGATGCGTTATTAATTCCTACTATTAGTTCATACTCTCCCAAATATATATTTATTTATATATCTTTTTCAAATTTTTAATCGCTTATAAAATACTTTCTAATCATCCATACAAGTTCAAATAGATTTTTTAAAACTCGTAGTGGATGAAACTTGATGTTAATACAGTTTTCTCAAATATTAATTTATTAGTTAAATTTAAAAAGTGAATAAATAGTAATAAACAAAAATAATAGTCCAACAGTATATTTTTGGAAGAAAAATTGTTCGTTTTGCACCTGCAGCGCAATATGTAGCGCGTTGGACTTCTAATCCAAAGGTCGTGGATTCGAATCCCACCTGAATTGGCCTAATTTCTGTGAATGTGATTTATTTTGTACTATACTATTTTATTAGTATAATTAAATTTAATGAATGAATAAATAGTAACAAACAAAAAAAATAGGTAAGCACCATATATAGAAAAGAAAATCGCTTTTTCTATTTTGTCACTCAATATTGCGATTTCGTCATATGTATATACATATTTATATTAATTGTAACTATTTAATAAAAAGTAACTAAAATAAAATGTTTCTTTGTTGACCTAAATAGGAATTGACTTAAAATTTTTTTTATATTACTTGTTATATTATATTTACATTATAAATTATAAATTAAACAACTTTCGACACAATAAAAAGTAGTAAATTCAATAATATGTGCATTTAAAGCTTTTCTGCAAAGGACGAGAAAATACTTTTTTAGTTTTTCATTAAAATGCTTTCTAGTTTAATTTAGTTTAATTAATTATACATTTCATAACCAGATGACTTTTGCAATACATCTCAATAATTTTTCAATTCTGCATAATATTTAGGCTTTTTTTTTTTTTTTGCATTTAAGTCACATAAGTATTTCTACTCAATCAAAATCAAAGATTACTATAATTACAACATTCTTTGTAGACACATACATCTCATGTTCCTTAATTAAATTCCTTTTTTGCGTTATCTTACGTACATTTAGTTTATCTAGCCAATATTTATGTCTTGCAGTACACAATTTACTAGGCTCGGGAGCAATTCCCTTTAACCTATTCATCATTTCGTCATGGTTGTCATCGATATGGTAGACCCGACTAAATCGATTAACTCCCGTTTGTGGAACACAATACATTTATTTTAACTCTAAACAAAAAGTGTTGTGATAAGCATCAAGAGAGGTTCTTAAATAACTGACAAAGTTACACGGAAAGTAGTTTGTTTCGCTGGGTCGAATTCCAGAACTAATTAGATACGCTTCTTGTATTCTTAAGGAATAGTTACACAGTAGTTGAAGCATCAAGAAAGTATTCCTTTCAGCTCTCACAAACTGTGCATTCGAGTATTATTTCTTTTAACTCTGAAAAACCTATAAGAAACGTATTTCGGTTCTGATTCAAAATTAGGGCTCGGTAGCGAATAATGAAGTCCAGATGTGGAATAACTAAAGGTACTGTACATTAAAATAAAGAATTCGGTACAATGCCATATGAACATATAAATTTACCAGACAACACCAATAAAACAGTTACAATGCCAAATCTTTTCTACACAAAAACATATAAGCATAATGCATTTATCTTGTACTAATTTACGGCAGAATAGTTCTGAAGCTTCTCAGCCTAGATGTGATCTGGGAGTTGCTTCTCATGCGTGTATATATATATATATATGTATACGCATTAGACCCACACACTTGAAATTTGCCAGGCATGTTTCCATTGTTAAGTACAGATCCTCTTCGAGAGGGTTTTGTGAAATTTGTCTCAAAATGGGGATTATGGATTAAAAAATCCAGTTTTTCAGCAGTTACACCAACAGAATTGAAATTTAGAAATCATGTTTCTTTTGTTAAGTAGATGTCTTCTGTGAACGGTTTTTATGGAAATCAACTTCCAAGGAAGTGGAGGGGCTGTGCGGGCTTCATAGTTGAAAATTCCAGTTTTTAAACAACCCTGCAGGCTTGAATTTAGTGGCAGACATGTTTCTTTTGTTGAGAAGAGATCCGTTAAGAATGGGCTCCCAAGGTGGGGTGGGGACGTGATAGATAAACATACTTGAATTTTAGATATTCAACTCCTGTCCTCTTTGAATCAAGAAGCGAGGGCTAAAATAATTTTTTTTTCAATAAAATCGAAAGTTTAACGTTTGTGTGTGAATTTAGATATCAATAACTTAAAAACAATATATAATCATACAAAATAATGAAATACCGAGGGGGAAAAATTCAAATTCTACATAAAATGAACTAAAATAGATCTCCGATTAAAAATTTCTTGTACAATTATTATTGTAATTTTTATAATATTGGCTCAACATTATTGATTTCGTTAGACATGTAAATTCTCTTACACCAATTTAATCATTTTAGATCAGAGGTGCGTAAACTGTAGTCCGTGGACACCTAGGGGTCCGCAGCGCCTTTCTAGGGGGTTCGCGGCATCTCTCATGTAGCGTTGAGATTTCCGTCTTTTGCAGACTCTGAAAGGCCTCGTGGAAAAATTGAAAGGTGCGCCATACTACTATAGATTACTAAATTGTCCCCAATGAGAAAACTCTACGAATATTCAGTTCTTTCATTATTTTTTGATCAAGAATATTAAGTCTTTGAGGAATAAAATCTTGGGGGCCCGCGATGTCACCCTGATACATAAAGAAGCCGCGGTGATAGAAAGTTTAACAGCCGCTGTTTTAGATTAATGGAACACCAAGATAAAAAAATATCATTATAATATTCAGCTTTTTTAATTTCTAGCTCTCTAGGGTGGCAATATCTCTTTCTGAATAAGAAACTCCAAACCCAGCAGACCCCTCAGGGGGCTCACCTTCTTTAGGTGAGTACGGGTGTCACAATCCCGAGGTGCCCTAGTGATCTTTTCCTTTTCCCACGGGGTTTACTGTCTTTGGTAAACACGGGCTTCACGAACCCGGGTACCCTAGTGATCCATCTCTATTTTCGACCCTCTTTCTTGTCATTCAATTCATTCTTTCTTTCTCTTCCCGTCTAGACCACAGGTATTAAAACAAATGTTTGGCGCAGTATAGCCGAAATCGGCTCTTGCGCCAATAAACCCCAAAATCACTCACTCACTCACCCAAACCCAGCAGAAAACATCAAATTCATAACAGCAATAAAATATATTTTCAATAACAATATTAGTTTCAATGCTGTTATACTTTGACTTTATTTCCTCCCTAATACCGTACGTATTATCATTTCTCTCAAAAGTATCAGAAACAGACTCTGGAAACTCAAAGTAAAGATACAAATTCACCGTCATAATAATGACATAGATTTGACAGAATTGGTATTTTAATGGATAAGATTTATAATACAAGATTACTTCAGACTTTACATGAAATATTTTTTTTACTGATACATTAATTAAAAAGATCAAATGCTCGAGTACAAAACGAGCCCAAACATTCACATACGAATTGCTTACGAATAGCCATCATTAAGTGAAATGCGATACTTTTTTTATGTATTGATGGCATTGAAATGCAGCATTCATTTTTTATTGCAAATAAGAATTTTATATCATACAAAAAAATCTTTATGGTGTGCAATAGAAAACTTCTTAAATGAAATTGCTTCTTAAATGAAAACTACTGTTATAGAATCACATAAAAATTGACACACGCAGAGATAGTATTCTCAAGAATATTGTTTTAACAAACGGTTCAAGGTAAAACTAAAACTAAAGGACATATAGTCCTTAATTTATTATGCACATAACGCTTAGCTAATTTACTAAAATATTTTGATATTTTTATTTTGAACAAATGATTCAGAAAATACATCGATATTGCAATATATGTTACATCTTTTTTTCTTGAAGAAACTTATCAACTTGAGTATGTTACTTAACCAAAGTATAATGCAATATTTAGGAAATGATAGGAATAAAAACTCTAAATGAAATATGAAGTAGTCATTTGGAGCATCTATGCGAATATCTTTGCCATTATAAAAATAATATCTCATGAAAATTTTTAAAAAAAATAACCAAGAAAAACTAATGCTGAAAACAATTGAAAAGTTATTTAGATATTCATATTCAACTATTATGACTATATTTGCATACTGTTACAGAAAGCAGTTCAATTTTGAAACAATGCTCCAGATCGAAAAAATCGATTAACTAATTAATTGTGGCGTCCCCGTTTGAAAGCGCGCAAAAGCCCTCGTGTAGCTGAACAGTGCGACGTTAATATTCACTCACTTGAAAGCTCGCAACTATGTGTGTCACGGAAATGAGTGATGACGAGTATACTCGTCAATCACAGAGTAAGTGTCGCTGTTAAAATATTGGATCAAAAAGATGGTTTCATTTTATAAAATTGCCAATTTTATTACTAATACTTATTTATTTGGCTAAAATAAGCATATACTACACACATATTACTCGAAAAACGCAAGTAAAAAAATATGTAAATATATAAGAATTCCACCATGTATCTTGAACATGATTGGATGCATATCTATACTGATGGAAGCCTTTTGAAGGACGCTGAAAGCGCAGGAGCAGAAGTGTATTGCCATCTTTTCTCCTTTTATTTAACATCTGGAAAATTCACAACCGCTTTTGATGGTAAGGTTGTTGCCCTTCATGTAATCCTTGCGCAGTTGCATTGTCATCTGAATAGCTTTACTAGGGCTGTTGTCTTCTGTGATTCAAAAGTGACGATTTTTCTGTGAACTCAAATTCTATTCAATTATATTCCTCTAAAATTCTTGACTGTAAAAAACTGCTGAAGAGTTTGAATACTCTAAGCAAATTGTTTTGCAATGGATCCCTGGACACTGTGGTGTAACTTATAATGAGTTTGCGGACCAACTAGCAAAGAAGGGAGCTTCCGTTCAACAGACAACAAGGAAAGCTCTTCCTTTTACCAGTGCCAAGTGTATTGTTAAGAAAAAGATGAAAGATCTCCCTTCAATACAGTACATAGAGAGAAATTCCAATTAGATCTGGGGGAATAATCTTAAAGATTAAAAGAACACAATAAAATTTTTCAGAATAATAATACAATTTTTAGTATATAATAATTGCATGAAGTTTGGGTTATATTCTATTCCAAAAATAATAAAAACTTATCTTTCAACTGGCGCCAATTTTTTATATAAGAAAAGAAAACCCAGACTACCTCTTAAAAGTCACAAAAAAGTTCAGTACAGTTCATATTAAATTCTAAATTTGATTTATATGAAAACGATTAATCTAATGATATTATAAACATATTTATTTTTTAGTTTCTTTTTACGATGTATTTGCTTTTAATGAAAAATATGAAAGATAACGGCAATATTTCTGTAGTAA